CTGATTCTGATTCAAAAAATCATTGAAAGAAGTTCGATCATTTACACGATCTTTAAAATCTTAAAGCCTGATTTGATGAAATTTTGTTGAAAAGTAGAATCGTTTATTAGAAAATGATCTTTAAATGAAAATGATCTTTATTTTTTCGCGTCTGGGTCGTCTGGATCGTCTGGGTCGTAGGCAAGCGCGCTCCCGACTGCGCCACGATGACAGCCAAATCCAGTATGGAAATACTCGCCCTTAACCGGATTTTTTCTGACAGCTATCTATCACTTTATTCATTCTGGAGCTGCTGGAGCTGGAGCTGGAGCTGCTGGAGTGATGGAGCTGGAGTCGACAAGCGCGCTCCCGACTGCGCCACAATGACAGCCAAATCCAGCATGGAAATACTCGCCCTTAACCGGATTTTTCTATCACTTTATTCATTCTGGAGCTATCACTTTATTCACTCAAAATTCTCCTTAATTCTATGCAAAATTACAAAAAAATAACACTATCTCTTTTTTTGTACCTTTTTAGCTCACCGATTCGCCGTTTGTTCGCTCAATTTATTTACCCAATAATCACCAAAAACTGGCTTACAAACAAGGAATTCTTGTTCCTTGTTAGTAAGCCATTTGATTCAAAAAAAATGTTTCAAATTTCAAACAAATTTTATGGCGATAAGCTGAAATTTAGAATTTTTGAGCTTTAAAGCTTTTTGAGCTTAAATCCTCTTTTTACAACTCCAAAAAAAAAGCCTCAGCTTGTGAATCGGAGGTGGAAATGGACTCAAAAAAGTCATATCGGAAAAGGAGCCAAACTCGAGAATGCATGTGAAACGTTCAGCCCTTTTTCCCCCCTCCCTTTTTGACTCAAACTCTCCTTTTCCCAATTTGCAATTCTCTGCACATGTTTCTCCACTTGTTTCTCTTTACCTTTCCCCCTCCAATTGAATCCAATCCGTGCTTTGAAACAAGTGCAAATAATTCCCCAGAATTTATCCTGTTTCGTCTAGGTAAACCCGAAACAACCCGAAAAACCCGAAATTGGACTGAAAAACTCTTTTTTCGATTCATTTTGAGTTAATTTTGAATTGTTTTGATTGCTTTTCAGTTCATTTTGATTGCTCTTCGAATCTTCGAAATGAACCGATGAAATCAATCTTGCAATATTACCGTAAATACTGTAATAGTACCCCAGCCCCATAATGACGGTGCGGAGTGTTGCGTAGTCTAGCTTTGAACGAGTTTTTCTCGACACTGGTTTAAGCTACAGTGTTCGTTTGAATATCAAAAAATAGCTGAAATTCAGGGCTATTTTTTGATACCAAAGACGCATTTTTTGAAAGCATGGGAGCTTTGAAAAAATGAAATACTAAAAAACTTTTGCGACTACGCGACTGTACGAGGGGAGTGGGGTACTATTACAGTATTTACGGTAGGTATTTAAATTTCGTCGAGCTTAAGATAATTTATGCCATAAAATTCTCACAACTTTAAATATTTTGAGTTTTTATATTTTAGTATCCAATCCTTTAGCAAAGAATCTTTCTGGTTTTGTTTTTGTTTTTAGATTTTTGCTTAATCAGTAGCTTTTCTTGCATTGGCGACAATAGTGACAATATTGAAGTCTAACGATAAAAAAATCGAGAATAATGCTTTTTTGACGATTGAATTGTTTTAAATTAGTTGTTATCTAAAGGTTTTCTTTCTACTTCATCACTTCTTTCTACTTCTTTGAGAGATATATGAGCATTATTTGAAAGCTGAAGATCTCCTCTACATCTTGATCTAAAAGGTTTTTGAATTTGGTCAGCTTTTGGGCAAATTGACTGCACAGAAGAAGAGGTGGCCAAAAAATGGAAGGGTGCCTTTGGATGAAGTTTTGGCTCCGCTTTGCATACTGTTTTGGCTCCGCTCTCTTTTTGCTTTGCATATTCATTGAGAAATAGAAGCAATTTTATGGAATGATAGATACTTTATTCAGGAAAAAAAAATTTACGGTAGGTCAGTTGTGAATTTAACTGACCTAGGTGAGTTAAGTTAAGTTCGTTAGTTTCACAATTTCACAACTCACTCCCATGATTATCCATCGGAATTTGAGCAATAAATTCATGAAGATTCCGAGCTAACTTTTGAAAGGATTTTAAAAGGTTTTTAGGAAAATTCTCTGACACATTCCCTGCAAAAATCATTTGATTCTTTGACCTTTTCAAGATTTTTGCGTAAATATCAAATTCAAATTGAAAGCTAATCCTTTTACACCAAAAAAAACCTTTCTACATATCTCGTGCAGCCAAATTACAGGTTTTTCCTAAATTCTGATTTCTTTATCAGAGTTGGCAAGCTTTTAGGATTAGATTGGCTAAAATGTTAATTTGACTCGTAATTTTTACTAGCTATAAGCGAATATTCTATATTTTGTTTTTTTTGAATGTTTGAAAGTATCAAATCTCAAAAAACTGTTAAATTTTGGTGGGAAAAGAGAAAAAAACTAGCAAAGCGTTGAAGCAAAAGAAAAAAACCTCGAGCTTTTCCGCTGGATTTCCGCCAATTTTTCTCTAAAAACTCATTTTTTGCTTTTTTGCTACTTTTTCAAGTGGTTCTTTGAGTTTTTTTTGAGATCTTTGTTAGTTGATCATTGAAACTGAACTTGCATTTGATAGTTTTTGGTTTAATGCTATTCTCGAGAAGTTTTCTACAGCTTTTGAACTTGTTCGTGGGGTTTTAAGTTGGAAATTGATGAAATTGATAAAATTTCGATAGTTTATCGATCTTTTTGAGTCTATTTATGATTTCTTTTGGTTTCAAATAGGAAATCTTTTTTCAAAAGCTGTTAATTTATAAAAACTTGCTCTCAAAGATTCAAATTCCCTTGGAATTTGAGATTTCAAAAGTCGCAACGTGAGCTAGAACTTTTTCAACTTACTTACCCTTTCACTGATTCATAATGACACTCGGATGCATAAATTTTCCTTAGTGAGGTACCTTTTCCGAAAGATCACTCTTTTGCATCTAATATATCGATCAAAATTTAATAACTAAACAGTCTGTGCTGGATCTAGCAACTCGTGAACTTGGCTAGCAAACTAAGGAGTTTGAAGTTAAGTTTTCCTACGGGAGTCGAACCCGGATCGACTTAGCTAAAAGATTCTACAGAGTGAATATTCTACAGAGTGCTACACAATTTCAATTTTCACAATTACCAATCACCTAACTACTTAAATTTTAGCGTCAAGACAACTCCAGACCTGCGAAGTTATCGTGTTTATTCCAATAGAAGGGAATATTGGATTGAGCCAAAGACCATTTTGATTGATCAACGATTGATTGATCAACGATTGATTGATCAACGATTGATTGATCAACGATTGATTGATCAACGATTGATTGATCAACGATTGATTGATCAACGATTGATTGATCAACGATTGATTGATCAACGGCCACACCTACTCCAGCTCGAGTTTCTTCAAAACTACCAGACCAGTAAATGCAAATCCACTCAAAAACAGTACATAAGTCCATTTTGGGATTTGGGAGAAAGTTCTGGATGTTTCAATCCAAAGATTTTGCGGGGATTCTATATTGGAATAAGCACGATAACTTAGCGGTTCTGGAGTTGTTTTAACGCTAAAGTTTAAGTAGTTGGCAATTTCTATCATAACGGAGAACTCTATTAACTCTATAGTCTAGTCATCGTATGTCTCACCCTTTCCTCTGTGTACTTTCCCTCCATCATGTACTATCATTCTCATTGTTTCAAAATGCTTCTGATGTCTTGAGGCATTAGAAGATTTCCAGGAAAAGAATGAACGAATTAAAAGTCGCATTTCTTTTGTTTTCTTTTCATACAAACGTCTTTTGATCTCTTTTGAAATTTGGGAATAAAAGAGAAGGGCAAATTACATCAAATATTGAGTAACGCTATTCAGCAAAACTTTCTCATCAACAAAAAATGCCAGAATGATTTGGTTTTTGAATTTTTAAAAAGAATAACCTCATTCCTCTCACAATTTTGATTAGTTTCAGTTTTTGGATGAATCTAGACGATTTGAAAGGATTTGAAATGGTTATCGGAATGCCAATGCCATTTCACTTCATATTTTACTAGATTCTATTCCATTCATATTCCTTTCAACAGATTATCGGTCATTTGATCGCCCCGCCCCTTTCGCCGTTGGCAATCTAACTTTGAGCTCAAATTTCTTGATGTTGGGATGTCGAATTTAAATCTTCTTGGTATCATTAGATGCGCCAAGTCTTTTTCTGTCGATTGGTACATAAACTATTTAAATTGAGCAGCCCAACACCAAGATATTTGAGCTCAAAGTTAGATTTCCAATAGCAAAGGGGCGAGGCCTCGCGTATAAAAGGTCACATAATGGCCCACCTCTTTGCCACTGGCAGTCTAACTTTGAGCTCAAATCTCTTGGTGTTGGGCTGTCTAATCTAGATATTATTTGTATTATTAGATTTGCCAAGTCTTTCTCTATCGATTGGTACAAACACTATTGAAATTGGACAGCCCAACACAAAGATATTTAAGTTCAAAGTTGGATTCTCTTTTGGAACAATCCTAATCGTGAAACTGAACCAAAAACTAAGCTGTGTTTTGAATTTATTAGCTTTTTTGAATCTATTTACTGCATCAGGATGTTTTTATTTCTATACCATTCGTTTCATTCACTTTTAATTGCAAAATAATCTTTGCTAGGAAAGTTTACGTTTCCCAACGAGTTTTTTCTAATCTAGCAAATGTTGATTTGATTATTTCTCGACTTCCTGTTCTTTTAGCACTTGCAAATCTTCATTTTTCTAATTCTATTCTCTCAAAATGCTATTCTCTGAAAAATTTCTAATTACCGGTCTTTAGGGAAATTTTTTAGACAACTTGATCTTATAATTGCTTTATCACGAGCCAAAAAAAGAAGTAACAAGCTGATTTTTTAAGCTTTTTTTCAAATGATCATTGCTCTCGATTTTATTGTACTTATTCATGGGAAAATTTCAGTTTTAATGGTGAATATGACGAACGAAAAAGGCGAGGGTGAGGTGTCATCTTTGGAACAAATTTGCAGAGAGGGACGAGACGGGGACAATATCGATTATGCACTTTGGGCGATTTCAGGTAAACATTACATTAAAACTGCTCAAAAATTCTTTCATTGTTTCAAATTAATCTGTCCAGTTGAAATCAACTTTAAAACTGCACTAAAGACGTTTTCTTTCGTTCAGAAACTTCAAAATTCAAACTTCAAATTCACCTTGATTACCTTCAATTACAGTAAGCTCAAATCGTATTTAGTTGTTAAAAATGAACAGTTTTTCGTCTTCAATTCAAGCAAATCACTTGACAAACTCTTTTTCCAATACTTTAGTGATAAAGAACTGAAGGAATTAGCAAGAAAAAGTCGATTTCCGAAGGGATTCAACCCTCGACCTTTTGCTTTTGCTTTCCAGGCAATAGCTCTAACCACTGAACTATCCGGTACCTTATTTTGCCGAGAGAAAAATGGAAAGACAAGGGCGAAGAAAGGAAGAAAGAAAAAAGGATCAGATTTGTCAGAATTGTCACAATTTCCATTTACAGTTAGTTAACTAATGACTAATTAGTTAGTCAGTTAGTTAGTTATAGGCAGATCCAGTGGCCTGTTTTTGAACTTGCCATTTTACCTGGCTCTGGTTTGATAGCTGGACCCGGTTTTCACCAAACTATTTAGCATTTAACCTCTGGCATTTTACCTGGTTCTGGTTCGATACCTGAGCCTGAGTCTAAGCCTAAGCCTAAGCCTAAACCTAGCCTAAGCCTAAGCCTAAGCCTAAGCCTAAATCCGGAAAATGGGGGTTCAGCCCAAACCCAAATAGACTTAGTACTAGGTGCTAGCCGCTAGCCTTCGCACTAAGTCCAAGCCTAAGCCTAAGCCTAAGCCTAGCCTAAGCCTACCTAAGCCTGAGCCTAGCAATTTGCTAAATGCTAAATGGTGAAGCAATTTTGCTAAATTTAGCAAATGTGTTTATTTTTAGACACTAGTTGCTGTTTTTTGACGGAAATCTCCTTTGCCTCAGTTTTTCGACCTAGAAATAGGTTATCTCTGAATTCTTAGAAAGATGTGTAAAAAAAAATCTGTAAAGTTTCATAAGGGACATGGTTTTTTTTTCAAAAGAAGGTTTATTTGCTTAAAATTAGCCAAATTTTGGCTTGTTTTTGTAGCCAGAGAATATGCAATGAGTTTCTTTTTGATACCTTTGTCCAATGCTGAGATCTATGAGTTTTTTCGGAGCTCAGGCACTGTAAAACACCCTGAGAGGTGTTTAGCAAAAGTTGTTAGCAAAATTTAGTGAATTTTAGCTAAATTTAGCAAAAGCTAGCAAAAAAACACAACGAATTTAGCAAAGAAAAAGACTTTCAGGCCCACTCTCCCTCCTTTGTGCAATCTTGTCGACACTCGGCAACATCTACAGCCTGAGAATCCTATGTAAATTGAATATCCGAAGGTTTGGGTTAAATCTATAGTTAAATCTATAATTTCGTTATCTATAGTTGCAAAGTTTAGATCAGTTCGCTTCTATTTGTCGGTGTTGGCAATTGCGAATGCTTGTATCTCTCAATGTACGCTTTGGTATTATGCACTTTCTGAAGCAATTCGACCAATCTTTGGCTCAATCGATTTTTTTGAGTAAGTTGGAATGAAATGGTTTTGAAATAGATTATTTGAATCTGTTTTCTAAAACGTGTCAAGTTCTCAGTGCCAACAGCTTTCGAGTTGCGTCTGAGCTCTTTCAGCTCAGCGTCTGAGCTACGACTGTGATCTCTTTCAAAACATTTCCCGGTTAAGGCTGTTACCGTAAAGTTTCAGCTCTTAGAGCGGCTCTTTTCTCGATTCTTTTGATGAATGAAGAATTTAGTAAACCACAAAACGTGTGTTTACTGGATTTCTCTAAAGAACTAACACAGGCTAGATATTGCTGAGAAATTTGATTCCACAAAATAAGCCAACAACTCGATCAGATCCTTTCTTTCATCTTTCAGATTGCTGACCGTTTTTGTGCACCCGGTGTCCTCATTCTTTTTGACTCTCTCGATTTGGATGATGTTGACGGTGACAGCTGACCGATATTTTGCTTTATCACGCCCACTTCAACACAGAGCCTCCGAATCGAAACAAAGAGCACAAAGGGTGACTCTTGGAATAAGTGAGTTGTATTGAAGATCGAATGTAGTCTTTTTTACTTGTTACTTTTTTTTTCGAATGATTATTCACTGAACAACAGTCGCGTTGAGTTTTTCATAGACAAGCGTCAACTAGACATGGGGAAATTTCAACCCAATGCTAATTCCACCTTCGTTTTCTTGGCCGATTGCTCTCGACATATAGAAATCGACATTTTCGACTTGTAGACAAAATTTCAGAGTAATCTGCCAAGAAACGGAGGAGAAAACGAAGGTGAAATTAGGTTTGGGTTGGAATTTTCTCATGTCTAGCGCCAACTAGCGCCTCTTTCTCTAAACTATAAATGAATTCAGTAAATTCAAGGATTTTTACGTTACTATAGTTTAAGTATTGTTTAGAAATTTCATAAATTTAATCAATTTCTTGAATCAAGGCCTTTTATGGATTGATCGATACAACTCTGGGGTAAAGTGGAGTCTAAATTGCTAAATAACAAAGTTTCTTTGACAAATCCTCCCAACTTTTGTGAGATTAATCAAGAATTTACAATGCTGGGATTCAAACAATAGGTTTACTAATTTGAAGTTAAACATTCATCCGAGATAAAGTAGGATTACTTACAAAACACTAATCAAAATACAAAGAAATAACTTCTTTTACTGAATTCATTTATAGGTTAGAGAAAGTTCCACTAGTTGGCGCTAGACATGGGAAAATTCCAATCCGAACCTAATTCCACCTTCATTTTCTCGGTCGTTTCTTGGCCGATTGCTCTGAAATTTTGTCTACAGATAGAAATTGAGATTTCCAGCTTGTAGACAAAATTTCAGAGTAATCTGCCTAGAAACGGACGAGAAAACGAAGGTGGAATTAGGTTCGCGTTGGAATTTTCCCATGTCTAGTTTCTTTTGAAAAAATATTAGGTTTGGACTAGAATTTTCTCATGTCTGTTTTACTGATGTTTTGAATCTGTTTTCTAATCTGCCAGGTTACCGTAATCTTTCAGTCCTTGGAGCAGCTCTTTTCTCAGTGCCAACAGCTTTCGAGTTGCGTCTGAGCTACGACTGTGATCTCTTTCAAAACATTTCCCGGTTGCGGCTGTTGCCAACTGCTTTGAGGTTTGAAGACTTTCTTTAGTTCTCTAATAGTCTAATATTTCAATTTCAGACTCGACGATAACTACTTATTGATCTATCAACTCTTGCTTATCTCAATCTTTGTCTACGTCGGTCCATTAATGTTGCTAACTTTGCTCACATTCCGCATGATTTTCATCGTCTACAGCGCAAGGAAATTGCGTTGTTCAATTGATGCAAGGTAATTTGAGTCATGAAGAGTTCTAGCATATCAATCATGCAAGGTAGTTTGAGCAATATTTTCAATTTTAGCCTTAGGGATTCTAGCATATTAAATGATAGTTAAGAATTTGCCCCCCACCTTGAACTTCGTTCCCGTAGCCTCATTCCCATACCTCCCAGCAAGATATTTGCATTTTTTTCTTCGGCACACTACCGGGAACGGCACACTACCGGGAACGGCACACTACCGGGAACGGCACACTACCGGGAACGGCACACTACCGGGAACGGCACACTACCGGGAACGGCACACTACCGGGAACGGCACACTACCGGGAACGGCACACTACCGGGAACGGCACACTACCGGGAACGGCACACTACCGGGAACGGCACACTACCGGGAACGGCACACTACCGGGAACGGCACACTACCGGGAACGGCACACTACCGGGAACGGCACACTACCGGGAACGGCACACTACCGGGAACGGCACACTACCGGGAACGGCACACTACCGGGAACGGCACACTACCGGGAACGGCACACTACCGGCACTACCCTTCGGCACACTACTGGGAACGAAGTTCGGGGTGGGGGCACATTCTTAAATACGGGCAACGTAGTTGGGGTGGGTGGGCAAAAAATTTAGCACCTAGGATAGAATATACAGGGTGTGTCATAATTATTGCAACAAGAGTTCAAAGACCGTTCAAAGACGTTCAAAGTTTTAAAGAGGAATGTGATGTCATGGGCGTGTAAAGCCAATAACAATCAAAAATGGACCTTCATGCAAGATGGAGCTCCCGCTCACACGAAGAAGACGGTTCAGGACTGGTGTGTGGCCAACTTTCCCTCAGTGATCACAAAGGATGAATGGCCTCTAAACTCACCGGATCTCAATGTGATGGACTTTTCCATTTGGGCAATCTTAGAGGCTAATGTCTGCTCTCGAAAACACACAAGTTTGGATTCTTTGAAGAAGTCTTTGACCAAAGGATGGAAAGCGATTCCTCAAGATGGACATTCGGGCTGCAATGGAGGCATATCCGAACCGATTAAGGGCTGTTATCAAGGCAAAAGGCGGTCATATCGAATGATCTCTTGTTTCCTTATTTGTTACTGTTAAATAAAGCTATTTCTGTTTAAAAATCTTCTTCCAGTGAAACTTCTTGGTGTGCAATGCCTTGAGTATCTTGTTGCAATAATTATGACGCACCCTGTAGAATAAAGAAAGGCTTCATATCAATCACAAGTTCCAGAGCGTCTTTTCATCAAAAATCCGGTGGTAACGAGAACACGACAAGAATGTTGTTGACGGTGGTCGTGAAATTTCTCATCTGCAGTGCGCCAAGCATGTTATTGAATGTTTGGGAAAAGGTGAATTGGATTTTGATTTAAATAAATGATCTTTGATTGGATTTTGATTTAAATAAACGATCTCTGATTGAATTTTGATTTAAATAAACAATCTTTTAGATTGTTGGTCCAACATTTGCCGTCACCACTCCAGCTTTTCGTTACTGTGTCGAATGGAGTAATCTCTTGGTGGTGATCAACAGTGCTTCGGATAGCATTGTTTATATGAGGTTGGTGAAGTTGTCGGCAAGATTAATACTTCAAATTGAACTAGTTGAACAATTTGAGCCATATTTATGCCATATTACGTTCAAATGTTTCAAATTTTATCAAGTTGACCGGAAAGTCTTGTACGCTATCTTTAAAGATTATTTTTTAAGATAAATAATGAACCAATCGATTTATGATTTATTTTATCAGAAACTCCTATTATTTATTTATAAATTGGTCTTTAAGAAGTTTAAAAAAGCTTATTTAGTTCATTTTTTTAAAGCTGCAAAGTCTGCTCGTCAAAAATGATGAAACTCAAAGTTTCGAAAGTCCGAAAGTCCGATTTATTGGGTTGTCCAGTTATGAATGCGCGTTTTTATTATTTTGTAAATTTCTCAAGATATCGAACAGATTTATATGAGTGTTATATATCATTCGAAAGCTGAAGATCTCCTCTACATTTTGGAATAAAAATGTTTTTGAATTCATTCAACTTTTTGGGAAATTGACTGCACAAAGGGAGAGGTCGTTTTCGAAAAAAACCCATTCCAGCTTAGCTATTCCTCAAGTTTTATCTTGTAAAATAACCGCCCAGAAAAGAAAAGAAAAGTAAAGATGCTCTGAAATTGTTATATTTTAAAAAAAGTTGTATTGATATATCTATTAACCAAACATCAAACGGTTAACTCAATTTGAGCGGAGCCAAAACTTGATCCAAAGGCATTCTTCCATTTTTTGGCCACCTCTTCTTCTGTGCAGTCAATTTGCCCAAAAGCTGGGCAAATTCAAAAACTTTTTATATCAAAATGTAGAGGAGATCTTCAGCTTTCGAATAATACTCATATATATCTTTTTCTTGATTTCGGTATTTTGAGAAATTTACAAAATAGTAAAAAACGCGCATTCATAACTGGAAAACCCAATAAAACCAAAAAAAGCACAATTCTTAAGCTCTTTCCATTGTTTTACTAATTGTAAGAGACTCTGGAAGAAGTTAAAATTGAAAATTGAATATCTTTTCATTCAAGATTAGTATTATTGACATAATACTGGCCTGAGTAAGCTTGAGTGCGGCTGGACAAGCTTACCAGCAAAGTTCAAGCCTCTAAAAGCGCAGTGGAGCTTGGAAATCTAAATAAACATGGGTAGAAGCCAAGAATTAGAAGTCTACTAGCAAGCTGTCAACTTTATCTTCACTTTCAGATGGTGGAGACAACAAAAGAAAACGGTCACCTATTCACCGATTCGAAAAACGATCTTCTCAAACTCTGAAGCCTCATATCTACGGGAGAAAGCTCAGCAGAAGGTTTGGCTTTTGACTTTTTCCTTCTAATTTTCTAGGGGTTTAAAACAAATCACTTTGCATTTAAATCTTTTAGGATTTCGAGGAGATTTCCTCTCAATTGTGCCGCTCTCTTTTGCCTGAAAGCGAAGAAGTCGAGAAGATCCTTGAAGCTTATCGGATTCAGGGAACAATTCAAGAATTACTCAAATCTATTGGTCAGTTTTTTTTAGAGAAATCTGTAATTTATAATCCCTGAAATCTGCAAATCTTTCTAAGGGGATTTGCAAAGATTTGCAAAGCTTTCCTATCCGTGAGAAACGGAAAATTGCGAACGAATTCGGGGAACTAGCTGTAAACAAAGTTTGAACTTTGTCTAAACTCTCCAAACTTTCAAAAACCTAAAACTGCTTCAGTTTTCGACTTTACTAGAATCTTAGTTTTACTAGAAACCTTTTTATAATCTAGATTTTCTTTATCTTTATCTAGATTTCAGGTGCTCCAAACGCGGAACGAGATATGATTTTCCGTTTGAATGAAATCGGCAGAACGCACAAAAACGAGCACATCACAGCGAGACAATGGGCGAGATTCAAGGAGATTTTCATAAAGGTGAGAAATGGGAAAGAAAGAGGGAAAGTATGAATGAGAGATGATTGGGAAACTAGAAAGTGCTGCATTTAACAAGTAAAATGCGGGGATACTGGAAATCTTCAAACCTGAAGGTACTTTAAATTCTCGGTATTCTGTATCACTTAAATATTTCTTAAAAAATACATTCACACGAATAATGTGGTACAAAAAATACAAAAGCAGCCAAGCCGCAAGCTTTAAATGTAGAGAAAACCCATATCTACAGTACTGGACAATGAAATATCATGTTTGAAAAACGATCGTCACTTTCGCGCGTCTGTAACTTCCTTGTCTTTACCGTATTTCTAAATATGAATATTACCATTGTGTAGCCCTTGAAAAGAGCTTTCAGAAAATGTATAACACTAATAGTTTAAACTCAAAGACAATGGAGTTACAGACACGCGAAAGTGACGATCGTTTTTCGAATATGATATTTCAATGTCCAGTACTGTACCTTTGATAAGTACCAAAATTCCTCACCGTAATCATTGTCGCGTAATCGTTACAAGAGAGGCCAAAAACTTGTTTGCCAAATTCTTCCTTGCAATTTCCTTGCAATTCCGATCTAATTAGCAAAAACAGACCGCAGATTCGGAATCAGCGTAAAATTCTGCATCTGATGGCCTACACTACTGGACAATGAAATATCATGTTTGAAAAACGATCGTCACTTTCGCGCGTCTGTAACTCCCTTGTCTTTACCGTATTTCTAAATATGAATATTACCATTGTGTAGCCCTTGAAAAGAGCTTTCAGAAAATGTATAACACTAATAGTTTAAACTCAAAGACAATGGAGTTACAGACACGCGAAAGTGACGATCGTTTTTCAAATATCATATTTCATTGTCCGGTACTGTATTTGTTGGATTATTAAACCGTCTTTGATCTTAATCTTAATCTGATAGTGTGCTAAGGGGATTCAACCAAATCATAAGGCTAAACCGGAGCTAATCAAACCAGTTAAATTCTCTACAAAATTCTGCGTCGAATGATACGAAACACTTGATGATTGGACGCGCCTAGATCATTCTAAATCAGCTACGAGATCCGAATGAATGCAAGGTTGTAGGGCCGGTAATTTTTAAACTAAACACACAAATATGGGATCAATCGACGCAGAATTAAATTCTCTACAAAATTCTGCGTCGAAAGATACGAAAGACTTGATGATTGGACGCACCTAGATCATTCTAAATCAGCTATGACATATAAGAGCCAATAATCTAGCCGGCGGGATTGAACCCTTGATCTCCCGACTAAGATCCAGGGTTCTTAGCCAATCAGCCGCATTCTTTCGGGATATTTTAACGCACAAAGTGCTGCCTGCTGCACAAAGTGCTGGCTTTTAGCCAGTTGGCCATTGTGGACTAAAGCTTAAGCCAAAAATAGTCAAGATTAAAGTTTATTCAATCAATTCACAATAAGATCTTTGAAAAGAAGTTTCCAGGAAGTGTCGACGAGTGAAGACGAGGCTTTGTGGACGCGTTTCATTTGTATGCTGATCAAAGAGTTCCGAAATGGGCAAACGTGTGCGCTGAATATTCGAAGTGATCGAAGTATGCAGTCAAAAGTCTCTCAATGCTCGACTTTTGATGCATCGGGGATTTGAATCGAGCTTTTGGCGTCTTTTCCCCAAAATTTCAGCTTCTAGCAAATTAAGCTTTAAGCTTCTGGGGCTTAAACTCTTAAATTTGCAAATTTAAATGCAAATTTATGGCTCTAGTTTGAGTTTGTGTCACATTTAAGTCAAAGTTGTTATTAAATTCTCAAATTGCATTCGTTCACGCGTTCAGAATTGACTCATTTTCTAAAAATTTCCTTTAAAATTACATGTTTCAACACTTTTCGTCTACTTTAACCCATTCGAAACTTCTGCAGCGAATAATCGCTGCAGCAAAAACTCAGGAACGGACCGCTGCAGCGATTATTCGCTGCAGCGCTAATTGAGCTATTTTCATTCAATTAATTGGTTTTTTTTTTGCTGTTTTTCAGCATTAACATGTACATTCCAATTGTAATAGATCTACAAATTACGTGGGCAAAAAAAGATGTGTCATATTTACCCGGAATCAATGCAGCCTCTGGTTTTGCATTGAAATGTTCCATAATAGCTCTAATCTTGTAAAGCCGGATCCAGTTCTGGATCCGGCAGCCTCTGGATCTCCTGCAGGATCCAGTTCATTATCACAAAAACGCAGGTTTCGAAGAATAGACTCAAATTTTGCTCTTGACATAATGTGGGACATGTGGGAAAATCCTCCTAATCCAGGCCTGCTACTCCAGTAGGAAAGAGCCTTTAATAGCCTTTTAAAGCTGTTTTTTCGCCAATATTCGTCTAGTCACGAATCTTCAATAATTTGACGATTCCCATTTGAAGATACAGAGCCAGGAAGAGCTTGAAAGATTTTGCATCGAAATCCTGCCAGTTTGTTTTCCTTTTTCCATGTTTATTAGATTCGCCTACTAACATATCGATTAATTTGTCGTCGATAAAATAAGAATAATAATTGATAGGATCTTGAAAAGTACTGAAGTCAAATCCAAATCGTTCTTCATCAAAAATAAATGGTGTAGGAGCCTCTCTTAAATCTTTCCAACCATCTGGATAAACTGCTTCGGAGTCAAAAATGTCCGCAGACGAAAAAAAAGGAAAAACGCTACGGTTTCGAATGGGTTAAGGTCACAAATTTCGCCTTTCTATTCCTTTCTATTCCTTTCTTTTCCTTTCTTTTCCTTTCTTTTCCTTTTCTTTTGAGCTTACCATTTTTGTGATGCAAAAATCTTTTCCTTATTTCAGAAATTCTCTCGAATTGCTCAAGATATTCTTTAATTTCATTTGTTTAATGCCAAATTTTGAACAAATTTGAACAAATTTGAACAAATTTAAACAAATTTGAACTAATTTTATTTGTACATGCTAAAAAAAAGGATTTCCCTTCACAAGCACAGTGATATGTTACCCATTTTTCGTTAAAAAAACATAGCATTTCAATTTGATCTCGAGAAATATGCATAAATATTTGATAGATTTTGAAAAACGATCATTTGACAGACAAAAATCGACCAAAAAAGGACAAAAAATGACAAAAAACGACAAAAAACGACAAAAAACGACAAAAATCGACAAAAAACGACAAAAATCGACCAAAAAACAACAAAAAATACCCTGAAGAACGAAAATAAGTGCAAAAATGATATAGAAATATAAAAATTTGAATGGGAAAAGCATTTTTGGAGACGGATTTCATCAGAAAAAGAGAGCTAACGTGAAAAATTCCGTCAAAAATCAGATTTTCATTGTTTTTAGAGTAGTTTTTGAAAGAAAACATGAAAATTTACTCAGAATTTGCGCAGAATTTGCTCTGAATTCGCTCAATTTGTTGTGAAAACACTTTCTAAAAGACACATTTGTTAGCTGAGATTAGAATAGCTTTCAAAGAAGATATGTCTCTTTTAGAAAGTTCATTGTAAAATTGGTTCTCTTCTGTAAAATTGGGTAAAATTTGAATGAAAGTCTAAAGGAGAGCTTTTCCTTTCGCAATAAAAAGAATAATGTACCAAAAAATTTTGCAGAATTCTTTCTCCACCTGTTTTAGAGCTAGCCAAATGAAAGCCAAGCTCAGCAGAAGCTCCTTGGCTCTTGATTTTTGATTCCAAGGCTCCTGATTCCAAGATTAAAGTCTTCCCGATAGACAGTTACGAGAGAAAAGCACCAAGACGGCCTTTCAAAATGAAACCCAGTTTACCTTATAGTAGAGTTCGGCAAATAAAACCAAAACCAAAACCAAAACACCAAAACAAACCAAAACTCAATTTGCATACAAATTAACATGTAAATTTAAAATTGTAAAATGTAAATTTGAATGTAAAATGCAAATTTGCCTTTCACTTTTTCTCACTCCACAAAATCTAAAAAAAAGGACCAAAACACGACCTCGAAATTTCGAAACAAAAAATAGCCTATGGGATAGATTTTTGGACGCTGATTTCAAATCTGCAAACAGATTTTCGCTAGCTCCTCCCAGTCGCGAGATCTTGGCGAGTTTTGGTTAGTTTTGGTTTTGGTTTTGGTTTTGGTTTTGTGTTTTGGTTTTGGTGGTTTTGGTTTTGGTTAAGTTTTGTTTTCCGAAGTCTACCTAATAGAACTTTTTACGCTGTTTCCGAATCCGGTTTTAGTTTTTCCAGGGAGGCCCTGCAATGCGAGATATTTGACATTCAAAAATTGACCCCAATGTTTAAATGTGGCCTATGTTTAAAACCTTTCTTTATCATTGCTTAAATGTGAGCTCGTGGCGAGGTGGATAGTGTGCTAGTCGGGGATGTCTAGGAATTTAAACCTCATTTTCAAATCCCCATGCTGACAATTTCTTCTAGTGTTTGGGAAAGAAGATATTATTGAAAAGAATAATTTACCAAAAAAATTTTGCAGAATTGTTTCTCCACCTGTTTTAGAGCTAGCTAAATGAAAGCCAAGCGCAGGACAAGCTCCTTGACTTTTTAACGTTTGACTCTAAGATTAAATCCCGATAAACAGTAGTCTTACGAGAGTCAAGGTAGCCTTTCAAAAGTCAAGGTGGTCTTTCATCAAGTCAAGGTAGCCTTTCAAAATGAAATCCAGTGTACCTAATAGACCTTTTTACGCTGATTCTGAATCCGGTTTTAGTTTTTCCAATGGAACTCTGTAAAGTAAGATATTTGGCATGGCAAAATTCACTTCGGTTTCAAATTCCCATGCTGATTTTTTTTTCTAGCTTCTGCGAAAGAATTATTAAGATTATTAAGAACATTATTAAGATTTTGAACAAAATTTTGTTTTTTGAGATCTTTGTTAGTTGATCATTGAAACTGAACTTAGATTTGATAGTTTTTGGTTTACTGCTATTCTCGAGAAGTTTTCTACAGCTTTTCAACTTGTTTGTCTTCTAATTCTTCAAAATCTTAATAATATCTTCTTTCGCAAAGACTAGAAGAAATTGTCAGCATGGGGATTTGAAACCGAGGTTTAAATTCTTAGTGTCGTGACGATCTCGTGATCGACATTGCCACGTATGGAAATGGCCAGCTAGACACCTATGGGGACGAACGCCTATTGTGCGAGATTTAATATGCTTCGCTATCCGTTCAACTCCATTGTGTGGAAGACGAGACGAACGCTCGAGTTCCGTATAAAAGCAATGTGAACGAGCTGCCGACGTGTGCCGTGGAGTGCCTCTACTCTCCCAATATCAAACCACTGAACCAACTATTATCGCTGGAATAAAGATTATATCTAAACCAACAATAATCACTACACCTAGACATCCCAGACTAGCCCACTATCCACCTCGCCACGAGCTCACATTTAGGCAATGATAAAGAAAGGTTTTAAACATATAGAAAGATAAAGAAAGGTTTTAAACAAACACATTTAAACATTGGGGTCAATCTTTGAATGTTAAATCTCTCGCATTGCAGGGCCTGCCTGGAAAAACTAAAACCGGATTCGGAAACAGCGTAAAAAGTTCTATTAGGTGCACTAGGTTTCATTTTGAAAGGCCACCTTGAATTGATGCCTTTCTCTTGTAAGACTACTGTTTATCGGGAAGATTTTAATCAAAAGTTGAAAAAGCCAAGGAGCTTTACTTTTGACTTTTCGCTTTGTAACAACGCTAGCGATTACCTCAAGAGAGAAAGCAAAGAGAAAATCACAAAGATTAACGAAAGCTTGGCTTTCATTTGGGTAGCTCTAAAAAAGGTGGAGAAACAATTCTGCTAAATTTTTTGGTAAATTATTCTTTTTATTGCGAAAGGAAAAGCTTTCCTTTAGACTTTCATTCAATAGAGAACCAATTTTACAATGAACTTTTTAGAAGTACCTTGACTTGATGCCATGTTAGAAATAAAGAACAGTTTTAGACTGATTTCGGAAAGATTTTGACTTGACTTGGCCTGCCTAGCCACGACTTTTGGCTTTGTAACAATGCTGCAGCATTGTTAGCATTGTTACGCTAACCGCAGCATGCTGCGGCTAGCGATTACCTCAATAGAAAAAGCAAAGAGAAAATGACAAAGATTAGCGAAAGATAAACAGTATTCGAAGTGGTTGCAAGACTTGAGAATGGGAATATCGATGAACTGCCGTGTTGTCGTTGAGGATCCAAACTCTTTTGTGTGATTGATCTCTCTTGTGGACTTTCTTTCTTCCGGGGTATGTTGTCCGGGTTTTTCTCGTCAGAAGTGAAAGCTTGTGGAGTGATTTTTCTAAAGCTTGTACAAATATTTAGAAATCTTACTCCATATTAGTCTCAAAGCTTTAACGATCTATTGGGTTGGTGAATTGAAAACTGGGGGACTTTGAACTAAAATGTATTCAACATAAAACCATGAATTCATTCCAAATAATTTCCATTATTATTGACGACTTCTGCCCATTTTACAGCCAATTTGCGGATTCCTCTTTCGTAGTAGGATTTTGGTTTTGAATCGAAAAACTTTTCGAGCCAATTTTTGACTGCTTCTTCTGAATCGAAGTGTTCTCCCGCAAGCTCATTACTCATGCTCCGGAATAAATAGTAATCAAAAGGGGCGAGGTCCGGACCGTATGGGGATTTACCAAAAGTTCCCAACGAAGGCTGTTTATTTTAGAGCGAGTCAGTTTTGCAACATGAGGGCGCGCGTTGTCGTGGAGGAGAACGATCTTTGACTTGAAGGGCCTATTCTTCTTTAGGGATTCATTCACCTTTTCCAACTGTTCACTGTATTTTATTGCATTAAGGGTCCGTTGCTATCCAGAAACTCCCAGTACACCACTCCCTCCATATCCCAAAGTGCTCAAACTGTGACATATGACAATAGGCAATCCGATTTTGGTTTGTGTGTGAGACAAGTGTGAGACTCAAAAATGGAGGACTGGAGATGTCAGCTGTCAGCTCAGTTTGAGCACTGTCTTCAAAAGAAACCCATTTTGGTGTCAATAGAAAAGTTGTAGAGAATCAAAAATTAGGCTGATAGCCAAATTTCCAAAAAGATAAACTTAGTAGTTTCGCTTAAAATGAAAGTTTTGTGAAAATTCGTAAATTTCGCATCTCTTGAAAACGAGTTTTTGAATCGTTCTGAAAATTAGGATATAAGCTTGATTTTTGATTCTCTACAACTTTTCCATTGACACCAAAATGGGTTTCTTTTGAAGAAAGTGCTCAAACTGTCACATATGACAATAGCCCGCATTTTTCAATTCACCAACCCAATAATTGAAATATTTTAGGATTTCGAGGAGATTTCCTCTCAATTGTGCCGCTCTCTTTTGCCTGAAAGCGAAGAAGTCGAGAAGATCCTTGAAGCTTATCGGATTCAGGGAACAATTCAAGAATTACTCAAATCTATTGGTCAGTTTTTTTTAGAGAAATCTGTAATTTATAATCCCCGAAATCTGCAAATCTTTCTAAAGGGATTTGCAAAACTTTGCAAAGCTTTCCTATTCGTGAGAAACGTAAAATTGCGAACGAATTCGGGGAACTAGCTGTAATCAAAGTTTGAACTTTGAAGCAGTTTTAGTTTTTTGAAATTCTGGAGAGTTTAGACAGTTTTCGGCTTTACTAGAATCTTAGTTTTACTAGAAACCTTTTTATAATCTAGATTTTCTTTATCTTTATCTAGATTTCAGGTGCTCCAAACGCGGAACGAGATATGATTTTTTTTGTTTGAATGAAATCGGCAGAACACACAAAAACGATTCCCTTACCTTTTTGTTGTGCTTCTGACAGTTGTCGTTGTCGTAACTCTTCTTGGACAAGTCTCGGCACATTCACATTTTTGCATTGTCCCAAAATCGCACGATCCAACATCAACAGCTCGCAAAATGTCCTGAAATCTTGAGAATTTCGCTTTACTTTGTTTCTTACCGGATCAGATATATAAAAATCCTTATAGCTGAGGCATTTCGTCGATTTTTCAAGTGTTCCCGTTTCCGAATTCTCATACGTATTCAAACATAAAATCAATCCATCCGGATCTCGATAAGCACACTCCAGAACATTATCGAAACAATCTTTGTATGTAGATCGAGTGTCGACACAGTAATCGCAACTCTGAAAACATTTTTGAGGAACGTAATACATTTTGTGAATAGTCTTGCTTAGAAAGTTTGCCCTCTCAAAGCCAATTTTGTTATTCTGTCATCCTTTTTCTTTAAACCACCATAATGATTGTATTATTTTATTTTTACTATACTAAACTATCATTATAATTACTATAGTGGGTTGATGAATTGAAAACTGCGGGCTATTGTCATATGTGAGAATTTGAGGACTGGAGATGTCAGCTGTCAGCCCAGTTTGAGCACTTTCTTCAAAAGAAACCCATTTTGGTGTCAATAGAAAAGTTGTAGAGAATCAAAAATCAAGCTTATATCCAAATTTTCAGAACGATTCAAAAACTGGTTTTTAAGAAGTGCCCAATTTTACGAATTTCCACAAAGCTTGCAACAGAACTTGCATTTTAAGCGAAACTACTAAGTGTATCTTTTAGGAAATTTGGCTATAAGCCTAATTTTTGATTCTCTACAACTTTTCTATTGACACCAAAATGGGTTTCTTTTGAAGAAAGTGCTCAAACTGGGCTGACAGCTGACATCTCCAGTCCTCCATTTTTGAATCTCACACTTGTCTCACACACAAACCAAAATCGTATTGTCTATTGTCATAGCCGACCATAAGACGACCCTTAATGCAATCAAACACAGTGAACAGTTGGAAAAGATGAATGAATCGCTAAAGAAGAATAGGCCCTTCAAGTCAAAGATCGTTCTCCTCCACGACAACGCGCGCCTCATGTTGCAAAACTGACTGGCTCTAAAATAAACAGCCTTGGTTGGGAACTTTTGGCACATCCCCATACATTCCGGACCTTGCCCCTTCTGATTACTATTTATTCCGGACAATGAGTAATGAGCTTGCGGGAGAACACTTCGATTCGGAAGAAGCCGTCAAAAATTGGCTCGAAAAGCTTTTCGATTCAAAACGAAAATCCTACTACGAAAGAGGAATCCGCAAATTGCCTGTAAAATGGGCAGAAGTCATCAATAATAATGGAAATTATTTGGAATGAATCGATCGTTTTATGTTGAATAAATTTTAGTTCAAAGTCCGGCAGTTTTCAATTGACCAACCCAATATTTTTATTATACACTAGCCTTTGTCAAAAGTATCGCTTTCACTTACCGTTGTCGTGTTTGATGATCGAAAATTGACTGTCAATGCGAATAAACAAATCACTGAGCAATCCATTCGTTTTGAAGTGATTCTGGACTGAGTTAAGATGATTTTGAAACATTTCAAAACAGGAAAACAGAATTTGAAAGGTTCATCACAAAGAAAGTTCATCTGGAGTAATAAAGAAACGCTTTGCAATTGATTTTCTAAAAAAAACTTACAAAAAAGTTTTTGGTTTAGAAAGTTGAGCGCAAATTTTGGACAAAAATTTCAAAAATAGGAAGATTAAAAGAGAATTTTAGAATGGTTTCGGATGGAATCGAATGGAAGTTCAAATCTTTCAATGGAAGATCGAATAGAAGTTCAAACTTTAGAAATCAACATTGAGAAACGGGTTTTAGTTAACGTTTACAAGAAATAGGGTAAAATTTAAGTTGGAATTTTCAAGAACTGAAAAGGAGCTGGCCAAGTTTGCCAAGGTAATTTTCACAAAGCTTTATTAGAAAGAATGTATATTCGTCATGTCATGCTTCATGAGTTCCTACAAGAGCACAGAGCAGGCTTGGGAGCTGCTAATATTCTTCATGAGTTCCTACAAGAGCACAGAGCAGGCTTGGGAGCTGCTAATATTCTTCATGAGTTCCTACAAGAGCACAGAGCAGGCTTGGGAGCTGCTAATATTCTTCATGAGTTCCTACAAGAGCACAGAGCAGGCTTGGGAGCTGCTAATATTCTTCATGAGTTCCTACAAGAGCACAATGTAGGCTCGGCAGCTACTAATATTAAAAAGATATATGGGGAGGACTTATTACAGAAAAAACAAACTGGTACTGCAGTTATTCTTCAAAATTGATAACCTGAGAACTAGAATATCTTGAGCTTCTTAATAATTCCGTTGATTAGCCAGCACCAAATTGAGAGTTAAGCCAGCACGAAAGAATGAATACCCAAATGAGAAAGTTCTTCTTCTTTTGCACCAACGAAAGTTTACGATCACCGCCAAGAGAAAGGGAGCTCGTAAATTTTGAGTGCACTTCTCGTGGAATAATATTTCTTTTCTTTTCTTTTCTTTTCATTTCTCTTTTATTTTCTGTTTCCGAGTGGCCATCACCAAATGTTTTGCGAGTAATTAAAGGAGTAAAAAGGAGTAAAATGAAGAAGTTCCTAAGAAGTACGGATATGCGCCAGCTCTCGGGACTCAGAGATCCAGATTCAGAGATACTCAAGAATCACCAGAGGACCCGGGCACACCTCTTCGATAGCACCGTCCTCTCGGTACTCCTCCCGACACTCTGCTACGGGACAGAGACCTGGGCCACGACACAGACCACTGAACGAGCCCTGAGAACGACGCATCGAGCTCTTGAAAGGAACCTCCTCGGGCACAATAGGAAGATCCTAAGATCTTCCTAATATTAGCTTTTTAGAGCTTTTTTAAAACGCGAAAAAAGGTGCGGAAATGGGCCGTGCGCAATGGTGCGCAAAAAAAGCTCGCATTTGTCCCATTCGATTAAACCGACTTAATCCGACTTACCCAAACTCAATTTGATTCCACAAGCTCCGATATGCCAAAATTTCGATTCTACGCGCTAAAATTACCTAGAAAAACAACTTTTCGAATAGAAATTGGTTAATATTAGCTTTTAGAGCTTTTCAAAACACGAAAAAAGGTGCGCTAATGTCCGGGTGCGCAAAAAAAGGTCGCATTTGTCCCACACCGGTCTTTCGGTTTCTTGGTCATCGCTTTTTGTTGAAATAAGAAATAATTAATGGGTTAAAATGTTTACGGTAATGATTCAGTTACTTCCAAGACTTGCAAGACTTATATTGAAGACTGTAAGACTCTTATTGAAGACTTATATTGAAGACATACTTCTAAGACTTATATTGAAAGATAAGCTCTCAAAAAAGTTATTATTTTTCACTTTAACTGAGCCAAAACAGTGAACTTTCTGTAAAACTGATAAAACTGAAATCTTTTGGAAATGAAGATCAAGCTCTCAACTTTTCTCGTCTTACTTACAACTTTTCTTTTCTTTTCTACGTCTCATGATTGCTTATGCATGGAATAACGAAGAAAAACGAAGAAAAACGAAAAAAGAACTGGAAGAAAAATGGAAATGAAACAAAAACTAGCTACTTACTCACGTTTTTTTGCGAACTAAATCGAGAAAAAGTGAGGAAATGAAAGCTTTTCATGTTGTAAATAAATTGAAAATACTTTCTGGAAAGTTTAAACGTTTTCGAGTCGTTTGGAAAAGCAAACTTTTGTTATTTCGACAATTTTATGGATTTAAGAGAGAGCTATTATTGTGGAGAAATGTTATATTTGTTTGAGTAATGTTTTTGAGTGCTTTTTATGCTTTCTAGGTTTTTTTAAACTCAAAAGTTGTAACAAAGCTGTTGGAAAAGCAAAATTTCGTTATCTTTCAGTGAAATTTGATGAATTGATGCTAGGCAGACTGAAAATATGAAAATTTACCCAGAAATCATTGCTAATTTTGATTTAAATGATTAAAGGTCCAGTTTTTTCAAAATTAATGATCATACATTTTCATTTAGTCGTAAAAAATATGTCTTTAACCTTAAAAAAGCTATGTGATTAAGAAAAGTGATGATTGACGCTTTGGAGAAGACGATTTGAGCTTGGAGATTGGAGATTTGGATTCGAGATTTGGATTTGAGCTTTGACTTGGAGAACTTGAAAATCTAGAGAACTTAGAACTTGGAGATTTCAGTGATTTTTGTCTACTTCAAAAAAAATGGCCGACTTGGTCCCATCAAACAGAAATAGAAAGAGAATGGACAAATAAAAGAAAAGAATAAGAGAAAGGAAAGGGGATAAGCCACAATTTTATGGATTTAAGAGAGAGAGAGCTATTATTGTGAAGAAATGTTATATTTTGAGTGCTTTTTATGCTTTCTAGGTTTTTTTAAACTCAAAAGAAGTTGTAACAAAGCTGTTGGAAAAGCAAATTTTTGTTATCTTTCAGTGAAATTTGATGAATTGATGCTAGGCAGATTGAAAATATGAAAATTTACCCAGAAATCATTGCTAATTTTGATTTAAATGATTAAAGGTCCAGTTGTAATGCTGAAAATGGTTGCTGAAAATCTCGCGAGACTTTTTTTTCGATAGTTTTTGTGTGGGGAAAAGTGAAAATCGAATTTGAAAGAGTGGAGATTGAAAGAGATGAAAGAGATCCCTTGATAGAGAGCTTTTTAACAAGAAATCTCACAAAAACATGCGATACTGGAGAGTTTTTTTTGTGATAAGGTTGATACTAAAGTGAAATATCAGCACTGATATGCTGATATGCTAATATCAGTTTTTTGTTCTTGGTTTATCCAATTTCCACGCTGGGATTAGTCTGGAGTATAAGTTGTTTATATTATTTGCAATTTTAAAGCGGGAAACCCATATAAAAATAGGTAAAAGCCTTTATACAATCACAGCTTCATAAAACTTAAAATATTCAGCTATTCAGTTGAGAACTTATTTGTCAAAAAGGTTAGGTTAAATAGAAACTTTGGGGTAGGCTAATTTTCGCAATTTTTTTTTGCGCAACTGGGTTGTTTGCGCAACTCGCCATAACTTTCTTCTAAGTCAGCCAATTTGTATGATTTTGGTTTCATTTTGTTGCACTTATTGAGATCTACAAAATGAAACCAAAATCATAAAGATTGGCTGACATAAAAGAAAGTTATGGTGAGTTGCGCAAGTGACCCAGTTGATGTGATTTTGAATAAGGTCTACTTGTCAATTTATTTGACTTGAGTTCAATTTGGCAGTTCCGATCATCCAATAGTAAATTAGAAGGCTGGTTGTGAAGATCAAGCGAGATTAAGTCAAACAACTTAGGGGGTAGACTAGTTTCCTCAACTGGGTCACTTGCGCAACTCTCCATAGCCTTCCTCTAAGTAAGCTAATCTTTATGCTTCTGGTTTCATTCTGTAGATCACAATAAGTGAAACAAAATGAAACCAAAATCATAAAGATTGATCCACTTAGAAGAAAGTTATGGCGAGTTACGCAAATGACCTTTCTGCGCAAAATAAATTGTGGAAATTAGCCTACCCCCATAATTATTTTAAATGAATTTCTTTCTAATCTATAAACAAACAATGAATACTAATCTCTAATAAACAATTACCAAAAAACCAAAACAACCAAAACAACAAACACCGGGCCACAAATCGAAGAAAGTCTAAGAGTTCTGCCAAAAGAACTTCCCGGATTTCATTCAAAATCACCCATTAGCTGCAAAACTGGGTCGTTTGCGCTTGGTTTCATTTTGTAGATCTCAATAAGTGAAACAAAATGAAACCAAAATCATAAAGATTGGCTGACTTAGAAGAAAGTTATGGCGAGTTGTGCAAAAGACCCAGTTGCGCAAAAAAAATTGCGAAAATTAGCCTACCCGGAAACTTTACATTGCTTTACTTTGCTGCCTTTTAAAGATATTCAATTGATCAACTGAATATCTTCAAAAGATTGGCAGTAAGTGGAAATTTTGAGCTGATTAATTGAATATTTTTAAAAACATAGCTTTTTCATGGTAAAGGCCTCATCGACCAAAAAATATCTTTAAATTTAGGTTTTTCTTAAAAACTGTAACAGTAACGATGTTTTTTCATGCCATCTTCGTAATCAAAAGCCCAAAATACGTATATTAAGTTACAGAAAGCTTGATTTAAGAAAGTCAAAATTGAATTGAAAGCAAAAAAAATGAACTTAACAGAATCCATAACAGAATCCATAACAGAATACACCAAGCCAAGCTCAACTCTTTTATGTCTAAACTTTCTCGAACCTTTTCTCCTATATTTTTAAAGATATTCAATTAATCAGCTCAAAATTAGTCAGCTCAAAATTAGTCAGCTCAAAATTAGTCAGCTCAAAATTGTCACTAGCTGCCAACCTTTTCTCACACTTGTTTTGATGATTCATACAATTTACCACATAGAAATCACTTCTTAACGTTTTTTTTTGTTTTAAATTCATTTCTGGAGTTTACGTGAGTCATTCGGTTATTTGGGCCTTTTTCTTGCCTCAGCTTTGCCCCATTGTGAGT